AGACTTGTATATAGTAAGTTAGAAAAAATAAACATTGATGTGGAGGAAAACGATAGTAGTGAGAGTGATATGAACCCACCAAGAAGAAACAAAAGTAGAAAGTGCTAGTGATGAAAATGTTGCTAGTTGTGAAGACGGTAGGAGACACCTTGTCCTCAGGTGAAGAATGGGAAGATGACGCCAAAAAACGGTCCTCTAACAAGAATGCATTTTGTTGTACATCCTCACACAACAGGACCGCAAATGCCAAATAATACAAGAGCACCGATGGACTGTTTCACTCTGTGTTTTGCAAATTAATTAGTGGATAGGATAATAAAAGACACAAATCATTATGCAGACACCAAAGGAAAAAGCAGCTATCCCACAGATCAGTTTGGTATAAGTGGCATGACGTTGACTGACAGGAAATTTTAGCTTTTATCGTGGTTATCCTAAATAATTCAAGTCCCAAATTTGCAAGAATACTGGTCAGCTGCCTTCAGTAGTAAAATACTATTTGGAAACATTCAGTAGAGAAAGGTTTATGCAGATCTTCTAGATGCTTCATTTGAAGACACCTGCTTCGAATGATGGGATGGTCAGAACTTGTATTCAAAGGACCAATAATTATCTGGAATACAGCAACTGTAAATTTTTGCAGTATTTCATACCAAGTCAGGCAACTTGTGTTGAACAGATCCATTGTTCAATTTAAAGGGTGAATATCATTTATTATACACAATCTAAATAAGCTTACCAAGTGGAATATACGTGTTTATGTTACTAGCTGGTTCAAACAAGGTATCTTTTTTGAAAACTTCCCTACTATTGCAGCATAACATCCAAAAACATCATTCTACTGAATTTGAGTAAGCACCAGAATTTCGTTACATTTATGTAACAAGTTGTTGGAAAAAGTTACCAATGCAGCAGGATACCAAGTGTTTACTGACAGATATTACACTAGAATTGTCCTAGCAGAAGAGCTGGGTGATATGTTATCTTACTGGTACAACCGAAAAGGAATACCAGCACAAATCAAAAGCCAAAGTTTTTAACAAAAAAAGCAGCGTATAGGAAGAATAATCTTAATGCTTCTTATGTGGAAAGACGAAAGGATTATTACGATTCTCAGCACTTGGAATCATACAGGAATGAAATTGACCACAAAGACATTATGTGGTACAAATACTAGATCAGTCAGAAAATGTAAAATGAATCTAAATTATACTGCAAATATGAGTGGTGTGGATCAGTATGCTTCTACATTTTTTTTTTGCAAAAATCTTGGAGGAAATTATTCTCATGGGGACTAGAAATACACATTATTAACTCGTATATACTCTGCTGAGCCTCAAAAAACACAAAAACGAAAACAATGAAAAACCTGT